ATATAATGCTCATTCTATTATTAAAGATCTAAAATGTGTTGATGTCATTGTGATTGGCCTGATTGTTAGTGCTAAAGAGTGAGGTGACTCAGTTGGATATTAGTATGAATGTGACACATCTGGTGCTCTACCGGTTCCTATGTCAGAGCGGTGATTTATTACTGCCATTACTGCACCAACCTCCCATCCATTTCTCCTGTTCCACCAGACACAGTGAACTTTTAAAAAAAAAACCCTACTTCTCATTTAGATGACTCAGCACTTGGGTTTGTGTGCATTAAGAGATTCAATTATAATTGATTAAGAGGAAAACTAATAAATGCACGACGCTAATGGAATGTAAATAAGGGCTCTGTCTCTTACTTTCATTGCTAAGTGCTCTGCTTTTCTACATGCTGTCTTATTATCTTCCAATCCTTGTGTCTCACCAGGCTGACAGTCACAATCAAACTCAAAAGACTGAATTAAGAGGATTAGATAAAGACAAAGCATTTATATTTCATGGTTACCTTTTTATTGTGAACTCTCTCACCTGCTAAGAGCAAGTGAGCTGCTATGTGAAATACAAACACGCTGCATTTGAGAAGAAGCTCTCAAGTGATCTAAATCATCAGGGATCGTTGCATGCTGGGCAACAGCACGTTAAATCGCCAGACTTTTCAATGGAGTTTGGACACAAAACAACAGCGTCGTAGACATCCGTCTTTAATAAGAGCAGCTCCCCCCTCCTCAGGAGTGCCGGCGAAAAACAAACAAGAAAACAAACATAAAGGCACAAAACCTAAAAAAAACAAACACCGAAATGTGTATTTTGGATGTTTTCTCTGCACTGGTCTGAAAAAAGATGATAAATAGAGAAGCTAAATAGCCCCAGATACGTTTTTTGCCTGTAGTGTCTCACCTTAATTGTGCATTCAATTACAAATATTGGTCAACACACTAGTTTTGAAAGCATATGCATGGAATATGAACTACTAATACCACGTTCACAACACGAACGACAAAGCAACAGCCGAGCGTGACCAGCAGCATTGTCGCAGGGTCACCGTTGAAGTGTCGATCGAGCGCTCGTTGACGCAGTTATGTTATTGGAGCACTCAACTTTAATTTGTAGCACGTCACACCCCGTCACATAGCAAGAAGTGTGGGGTGTCAGTTTGTAGGAACCTGTTTCTCTGCTGAAAAACAGGACTCCACAGACAGAGAAGCCTCACTGCGGCCCCTGCTTGGATCGAGGTGAAGCCACCAGCAGGCACAGACGCAGCCTGCAGCATTAACACCTGCCTCAGTCACCACTTTAGAAGTACATTTGGAATTCACGGCCACAACTCATTCATCTCCACTCGAGTGCGACGGCTACATCTGTGAATGAATTGATGTGGTGTCTCATTGTAATTGGTTGGGCAGAGGTGGCCGCTGACTGATAACAGCTTTGGTTTCTTAATGACATAACGTGAGGCTGACCTCTCAGACTGAGACTGGATCAATCTGATAATTACACATTTTAATAGAAGTTTTGAATTGTGTTTCATTCTACTTAAGTATGTGTTTAACAGAACCACATGGGCTCCAAGTCTGGCAATAAGAATGACTGTAAGATGAGTTATCTGCACGGTTAAGAGAGTAAGATTCAAGACTTCCCATAAAGACAGGTTAACAACCAAAAATGACTCCACAAACAGTTGTCTGAACTAAAGAAGTAAGCCAACGTAAACCTAAAAATAAGAAGGGAAACGTTTGCGCATGAAGTTCTTCTTCCATGGGTGGAAGCTGAAGACATCACTGTTAAAAAGACTGATGATACAGCAGAAAATGAATTGAGTTTGGGATTCTGATTCAATTCTGGAGGACTTTGATATTCACAATACTGAGACTTGCTTTGTTCACAACTGCAATGGTGAATTCTTTTGACTTTGCAGCAAATGTATTACTCTGACTGGCTTCTTCTACCCAGCAATGGCAGACAAGGCTCACGGGTATTGTATTCAGAGCCGTCCACCAAACTAACAGAGCCCAAGCTGGATGCTTTAGGGCGGGGCTACCTTGTGATTGACAGGTCCCTACCACGGCGTTGTCTGGTCTGGGAATTGTCTGTGTTTTCATCTTAGAACCGTAACCCTTTCACAGTGAATTTTCACTTCATGAAGGTATGTAACATTTTGGCCACCTGAAAATGTCTTATTCAGCGTTTGGCTGTACGTAGCTCCATACTCTCGTGTCACCTCTGGTTGCAAAATACCAAGATGGCGACTGCGAAAAACCAAGTTGGCGACGGCCAAAGTAACGAACTCAAGACTTCAAAACAGCAGTCTGCAAACCAGTGGGTGACGTCACGGTGACTACGTCCACATCTTATATACAGTCTAGTCTCTGGGAATTATCTACCTAACCCGCAATATTTAGTCATTTAGTGTTATTAGTATGGTTTGTAATTTGCCCTATTTTTTGTAAAAAAAGAAGTTTGCATACTTTCCCATTTCCATCCCTTGTTAAACAGCATTCTGAGTGTCAGGTCAGAAATGTCAAACAGATTCCATATTACCGTTTATACCCCTAATATAGTTCATATGGGCCATATATTGACACGTTGGTTTTATCAGCTGGTTCCATGATGATTCCATGCTATGCAACAGTTACACCCGGAGGAAAGTCAATGGAAATAAATGGAAACATCTCTAAGTAAGTATTGTAAATGTAGTAAAAAGTGTCCAAATATAACTCTCCTCTCCTCTCACCAATGGTGTCATAATCACTGCCGTTTCTATCACACTACCAGGAGATCAAGAAACTCTTTGGATATGCAGACAGACATGCGGGAGGTCTCACTCTTCCTCTGTCCGTTTACGATGCAGGGCCCGTCGGTGTCCACGCAGGGCATCTCCGCACAGTTCTCCAGGCGCCCGCTGACACCACAGCTGCAGACCTCGTGGCACCCCATCGGACCGCTGCGAGTCGGCACCTGGATGCGGGCCTCCTGCTGCACCAGAAACTCGGAGGCCTCGCCCAGTTTACAGCCTGAGGACACACACAGACACACATACACACTCAGAATGACCGCCACGCAGCAGACACGCAGCAAAGGTAAAGGTGTTGAGCCGGAGCCGTAGCTGGCCTCACCCGGCACGCAGAGGAACGGCTGACAGTTGAGTTCGTCGAGGCAGCCCCTCCTGTTGACCTGGCACAAGTGGTTGCTGGGACAGGGGTTGGGGTTGCACGGGTGGATGACCTCCTCCACGATGCTGTTGCCTAGGGAACTGGGGACTGAGTGAAGGGGTGGGGGTGCAGGTGATGGGTGGATAAGGACATGGAAAGCATGACTGTCAGATAAGATGTCAATTTTCTGTTGGCGACAATCTGAACACTTAACGTATTGATTGGGTTTCAAAATAAAAGCCCAATCTGAAGATGAAACTGCCCTAGAAAATAACAGTTTGTGGGGAAATCAGTATCCAACTGTGTCAGAAAGATTCCAGCTGCATTCATACATTTTATTATATATTACCTTGAAATCACCACTTACTGACCACGTACTTGAGTCAAGTGACTTGGACTGGCATTCAACTTCAGTCATGAATCTGATGACTTTAGATTTGCTAAATCCAAAAATACTTGCAACTCAACTTTGACTTCAACACCAATGACTTTTGACTTTAGCCTCTTGACTTGGAATAACTTTAGAACTTAAGGTCTTCAGTCAGCGGGTGTAATGTTTACCGTGTCCCAGCGTTGTAGTACTGGAGGCCGGCCTCATGACCACTTTTTGAAGGTTTTGGTCTTGTCTAGGTCTCAGATAAAGAGGACTCATGAGTTTAGTTCAAGACCGGTCAAGACCACAACAACATCACTAAAACTGCCTGTGTATCTTCTGATATATTTGTTATCATCATAGAAACAAATGAAGTTTCCCACACATCAAATGATATTCCTATTGATTGTCTTATGAAGGTGTTTCTCATGTATAGTTATACATACACACATAAACAGCATGTACGGCAATAAAAGAGGTGAATGAAGAGGAATCTGTGTTTGTATTTGTGTTTTTGTGGGGGTCTGGTCTCCATTGTTATTATTACTCCTCGGTACTCGGCACAGCTGACAACAGCAGCTTGAAAACAGCGTTAGTCCCGCCCATGGCGCTGATTGGCTAATCGTTAGTCCCCCTCGCTGTGTTTATTGGTCATTTACTTTTTTAAATCAAGAAACTGCCATTTCATGTCACGATGCCACATGAATCAGTTGATCAAACTCAGTGGAGTTGGCGGATTCAAACGTCTGGACCCAGGCAATTTATATTCTGCAACGATACAAAAATTCAAGGAAGCCATTTGCTTTTTTTTGTGAGAGAACCAGAGCGATGCTAACTTCCTGGTTTGGCCTACCAAAAAACGTCATCCCTGCAGCACTCTTTAGCCAACTGTTTGCTAGGATGTTATGTTACCAGATGAATAATGTCAGTAATGCCTCTCTCAGCTTCTGTAGAGTTCTGCCCCCTGGTGGCCACTAATCCATTCACTTGCACACATTTGAACAGCTGTATGGTTATAAAATCATCGATGGCAATTTGGGTTTTTCAAAAGGTTTCTTTCCAGTAACCATACTATATCTTGTTGGTAATTCCATCTGTAACTGAGCTCTCCTCCTGCATGTTACTACAGGAGAGAAGGCCCTGCTGACTCACTGAGGTATCTGTGGAGGGGGATGCAGCGTTCAGGGTCGTCGATGGGCGACAGCAGCTCACAGATCCTCTCTGCAGTTTGTCCTTCGTGGAAACGCTTCCTGTCCCCGCACTGGGTCAGGATGTCCAGGCAATCCGACCTGAGGACAGATAAAGACAGAACTAACAAAAAAAGAAGAAAAAAGCCAGCGTAACACAGCTTGAAACAAACAATAAGAATAAATCAACATAAAGTGGGTACGTTTGACTTCTATTCCTACAAATGCAGATCTGAGGTGTGTTCGATAGACCGGGTCAGAGCGAGAGAGAGGCTCTGCCGGTAGCTGGATGACAGCAGTGTGCGATGGATGGTGTAATGTCTTTGAAGGGAAGTGGGAGAGGAAGGTTGTATCTGACTCATGACTGAACACACTCCAGCCATGACACAGCAGAACCCTGAGAGAAGGGCGGGGCCTCCTCCTGTTCATCGAAGCCCATCTCACCACTCATTACTGAGAGCACAGCAAAGGCTGAATTCAATGAAAACAATGGAATTGAGGGTATATAGACAAACATGCCGAGACAAATGTAGACTAGGCGGCAACCTCCGGTTTTGAAAACTGAAGCCAATGTTGTCTTATACCTGCATTCTCCCTAGTGTCCACCAGGGGGCGACTCCTCTGGTGGTATAGAAGTCTATGAGAAAATGACTACTTCTCTCTTGATTTATTACCTCAGTAAACATTGTAAACATGAGTTTATGGTCTCAATCTCAATTCTCTTTACTCTTCTGTAAAACATTTTAAATGTTTGATGTCTCCTCTTGAGGGTGTTTACAGTAAATCATCCAATCAAATGAGACTTCGGAGTGACCGAACCGTCACGGATCGGAGCAGCTAACGGAGCAGCATGGAGAAAGATGTGTTTGGATATCATGTTTTCATTTCCAAAACAATATGGCTGAGGTCCTCCGTAGCTCCGTATTGTGCTAAACTCTAAGCCCGCCCACATTTTAGCGGCCCAATCAAATGATTTGATTTAAATCCGTCTTGTAACTTTGTGGTAAAATATTGTGTTTCGATGGGATTTTAAGTTTCATTCTAGATGCTCATGTTAACCCTGTTACTATATACTTATATGTATTTATTTTATTTGTGTGGTTTTATTGACTTAGTTGAGCCTTGAGTATTTACATAGTTTGTTTATTGTCTGTTTGTAAAATATGTGACGTGTTGAATACCTCGTTTTTCTTTCTACTGCAAACCAAATCTCCCTGTGGGTACAAATAAAGGAACCTGGACCTTACAAGTTAGTACTGGGTAGTAACCCAGGATGGCAGTGGAGAATAAATGATCCTTGAATCCTTGACTTACTTGCATATGACGCTCCCTCTGGACTTGCTGTGGCAGGGCTTGATCTGCAGGGAGCAGGCCACGGCCTTCCACATGTCCGGCAGACACTTCCTGATGTCCAGCACGGGGATGTTCATGAACGGCATCTTGATCGTCCCGTTGGACCACAGCTTGATGTCGCTCATGGCGCCCTGGTCCGACTGGACGTTGCAGCTGCGGAACAGATCCGTGGGCCTGAGGAAGGAGACGAACGGAGGGAGAACTCTGAGTCTGATAATCCAGAGGATGCAAACACATGTATGGAGAAAGGTTATGATAAACCATGTGATGAAGGCCTGTGGTATATGCTTAAATAAATAGGAAATTAGGGAGGTAAGGTGGGGGAAAGCCCAAATTTGGTTCCTCCAAGTCTTCTTCAATACAGCATGATGTTCATTTAGTACATTATGGTCCATTTAGAGTCAAACAGACCATAAAGCAGGGGATGCTTTAGGGCGGGGCTACACGGTGATTGACAGGTCGCTGCTACTACCACAGCCGTATACAGCGTCTCTACGTCACTCCTCCACAGTCCAAATATGGTTC